AAAAAAAAAAAGCACTGACCTGACCAACTGGGATAGCCTGTCCAGTTCATTTTGATGATGATCATGGATTTCCAGATTACTGACCATTTTTCTCCATGCTGCTGCTCAAAGGTTTCAGTACACCAGCTCCCCCACCCCCCTCCTCCTCCTCCAAGATAATGACTGACTGCATATTCTATTTTTGTACTTTGTGTAATCGTTACCTTTCAGACACCTTATGTTACAATAGCAACATACAACAGCGTAGAGTAAGACTTTGTAAATCTGCAGCACTGAACATAGAGTTAGATGAGAGGTGATGTTCGTACCAGCTGGAGTCAAGGTTTTGATCATAGTCCCTGATTTCTACTGCATTTCAACTGACATTTACTGAGTCCCCAAATTTGATCTTATCCTCTTGTACAGATGATCTTATCTGTAGTTAGAAGCAACCAATAAAATGTGTAATAGTAGCTGCATTAACACTCTCTAAAGCATGTTTCGTAGATGTTCACTTCACATGCACGAACAGAAAATTGTGGAGTTTGCCAAAGTTTCTTCTGCCAGGAAAATGCTTTATTTTCAACCACATGTAAGTGTCTGTTTTAGTTTGTTTTGTCTGTTTTTAACATAGATGTAAATAAGAGTATTTTGTGCCTGTCTGATGACCTGTTTCAACATCCAATAATAAAGTGGTAGCTATAGCACAACTTCTGTCTTGTGTTTGCATTCATAGCACAGAAATCGGAATAATCTTGAACGTTGCTGAAGTTTGACGTCCTTCTTATTTTTAAGATTACCTGTTAAGGTGTTTGCTGCAAATCTTGTGGAGGGGTAATTTTTTTGACTATTCACATTCACCAAACTTCTGAAACTTTTGAAAGGACAATGTGCTGAGTCAGTCATCTTCAGTCCACTTGTAGCTTTATTCTACAGTACGCAGAGAATACACAAAACTGAGCTGGTCTCAGGAGCTACTGAGACATAGAAGTAGTCCTTTGTTTTCATAAGTACAGTTCTATAATCGACATCGTGTTTGCCACTGAATCTCCCTTAGCAGTCTGTGAGAAGCATGAATCCTCATCTAACTTCTTGTCATTGCCTGCTTGGGTACATTTCGTCTTGATTTTTGCAAACCACATTGACAACAAAACCTCATAAGATGTCTGTTTTGCCTACCATACGATCTAGTTCGATACGTTCTTAGAACACAAGAGTGATGCACATAGTGCTTACAGAAAAAACAACCCTGTCAAAGCTTTCTTTGACCATTAACTTACTGACACACACAGATCTTCCTTATATAGTCAGACTTTTAACCTTCTGATTATTTACCAACATTACATTTAGAACACTTGATTATATATATTTATACATGCTTATTAATCATTTCTGAACACATGGTTTAAATACATACTAGACTGTTTTCCCCCCAAAACCTCCCAAAAACAAAAAAAGGTTTTGGAGCCATAAAAATGAATTTGATGAACTTGCAATAAGGCTAATTTCTGAAGGCCTCTAGGAACACCACCACTGGACATGTTAAAGACTGAAGTTCAGTTCTGCAATATCTGCACCACGTAGACTGATATCACTATGGACACAATCAGCACTGTAAACCTGTTATCTCAAAAAGGTTTTCAGTGATCGGGTCACACATGAGCACAGATTTCTCGCAATGTTCAGTTTTGGTTATTTCCTGAGACATTTCTATATATTTAGCTGTGCTGTTCTCACTTGTTTAAACTAGGTGGGAACCAGGTGGTAAAATAAGATACAACATGCACCAATCAAGCTTTAGAAATATAGAAGTTAAACTGTGAAGACATTACAAAACCACTGTCAATTAGAGCCTGTGTTTGGCTGCTAAACCTGTATTAAAAACAACTAGGGATGTTTTTGTTTGTTTTTATGAACACTGCGTTTGGTAATGAATAGGGCAATGTCACAGAAAATCTGTTAAAATTCTAAGCATTAAACTGATGAGATGAGTCTGTTACATCTCCAATTTAAATGATTTATGGTTTAAACAACGCAAATAAGCGTTCACATAAAAAAAAAACAGTCCAGTAACATGTTTTCTTCAGTAAATGTTACTGTTTATTTCAACAATGAAAGTATTGTAAAACCACAACATAAACATTTTTTCAAATATACAAGTGTTGAAACATTTATTTCTGAAATAAAGAACATTTAACTGTATTATACAGCAATAAAGCGCCATCTAAGTTTTCTGTTCACCAAAGAAAAGCTTTAGTTAAATGCACCACGATCCACGTAGGGGTAGGCCAAGAAATCTCCCAGTTTGTTGCCTTCAGGGTCGTAGTGCAGCATCCGGAAGCATTTGTCACAGAAGAGACATGGATCACTGGGCGCAAACTCGTCATTAGTTGTAAACCATCTGGAAAGGTCAGATGACAAATGAGTGTCAGTTTTAAAGAAACCAAAAGCTGTCATTCTGTTTATGTAACTCCTTGTATTAACACACCTGCCAATGAAAAGGTGGCACACGGCACACTTCTCAGTAGTAATTCTGTGCTTGTGCGTGAGAAGTGGATACAGCGCCCGGTCGAGGCAGTCGGTCTTATGGGCCAGTCTGTAATACAAAAAGAGCGATGACGAGGATGAGGATCAATTCTTAGAACCTAAGTAATATGAATGTTGATTTGACACACATTCTTAATATTAAGAGCTGCTTTCATGTGTGGTTACCATGCGTACGGCAAAAAAAACAATCAGCTCAAAGACATTTACACTCCAAAAAATGCTAAAATACCTAAATTAGCTTCAAAGTCTTGTGAGAGGCATCCTATCCTGCAGGACAATGAGGTGCTTTATTTCAAAAGCTCGTAGTACTATTACAGACATTCTAATGGCATCTTGAAGCAGCACCCAAATGTTGGCAAAACCACCTGAATCAGTTTGCTTCGGGAGCAAGATATACTGCAGGGTTTCATTGTGGCTTTTTGTTTTTCAAGCAAGCATGCTTCTAACCTACAACAAGCGCAAGAGGTCAAATGACCTTGACCTGCACGGCTATTTTGATGTGGCAAATTTGTACTTTAAAGAAAACTCAATTTGATAAAACCATAATAATTATTTCAAACGTTATGAAACATTTGCTGGCTCCGACTTTAAAACGTGCTCGTCGTCTCTGATTTATAAGCCTGTCATCTGAATATATTCAGGTTTTACACTGTTAACTGGGAAAAACAAGCAACAAGAAGGCATTACTTTAGCTAAGATACACAGTAGACAACAAAATCTGCAGATTTTATTCATTTTTAGATAAATCAATCCTTGTCATTTGTTTTGGTTAATAGCCACATGTATTGTAATGTATGATACCGACTAGAGCCGTCTGACATATCGGGTGGAAGATAGTATCCGCTGATATTGGCCTGTTACACGTATTTTGGTGTCATTGAACATGTTGTCTGAATACTTCGTTTTACAGAAAATGAAACTGAAAAAAAAAATGCCTGGGGTAATTTAGACACACATCTTAAAGTTTGTCCAGTGGAGCATCACCGACCCCATTGTTTATAATACTCTCAGCTGTCTGCAGCACATGTAGCAGAGTACATATCACAGCTGAGGAGATGGTGTGTCTTCATGGTAAGTTGCAAGCTAGTTTGTGTAACCCATTGCTGCAAAATCCAAAACCAATTACCCTATCATGTTCCTTTTTAATACAACTCTAAATAAACAATATCAATATCAAAATTTTAGCCCCAAAAATCCACTATTGGTCCAGCTCTAATATGGTTATATTTCACCTTCAAAAAAGACGTGTAGTGGATTATAAAAGAAGAAGCACGAACCTGATGTCTGTGATGATGATGAGATGTTCACAGTCTCCCTGATGACAGTAAAGGTACGGGTATCCCACTTTCACTTTCAGATCTGTAAACCGTGTGTCCTCCATCTTGGCCTGCGTGCAGGGTGGGAAGTTATTGGCCTTTAACCATTCAACAGTGGTTCTGTATCAAAAACAACAGCAAATAGATTACAAAATGTACTTAGACTACAGTTAATGATAGCATCATGTTCATCTGTTAACAAGACTCAACATACAGAGGACTCAAATGCACTTTCATGAACAGAGAGTTTCAGTAGATCACATATATAATGGCTGTGATTGTGGATTTAAATGTAATGAATACAACTGTACGCCTGAGATATTTTTTGGTTGCTCTGTTGTCACACTGCCATATTAACTGTACAACACTGGAAGCTTATAGGGTATTTCAGGGTAGGAATGGGACGAGGGCAAGTGCAATTTTCTGCCACAAATATTTCTAGCCGCCTCTCTGGCCTGCTTTCAATAAATGTGCACAATGTAAAGATCTGATGAGGAATCACAAGAGCTCCATAAATGTACTGATGAAGGTTCTTGAACATGCTGCAACCTTTAATTGATTAAATAAGCTACTGTGATAATAATGGCACCACAGTAGTATTAAATAAATGTGCTACTTTTATAGTATTTAGCAAATCATGAAATCCATTTCTAGACCTAGTGTCTACAGAATCAATGGCCTGACCTATAGTATAACCTTTTAAGATATTCTATTTCTGCATATCGATTATGACCAGTTACTGCTACTGACTGATAAGGTTTTTTAAGACAGTTCAGAGGTTCAAGATTTTCTCCATGGAAATGTTTAAAAGTTGTCCAGATTCATTTTACACATTCATCTGGACTCAATTAGGCCTTTAAATACTGCCATATGGAGAAAAAAAAACAAGATGACAGCAGTTCCATCATGACTTATACCAAACTAAGATGTCAAAGATGAGGGTGGTGATACTTTTCACCATTCTCGTGGAATTACCCAAACAAGTGACGTGTTAAGACTGTCGTTCAGAATTTTTCAACATCCCTACCCTTTCTTTGGCTGTGAACTCCAATTTCCAGTAAAGATGTTGATTTTTAAACATAGATTGCAACATATTGAATTTGCTGGGCAATGTAGGGTTACACAGATCTTAGATATAAATTATATTTGTTAGGGAATCCATAAGTGCATACACAACTGCTGCATTTGTAAGTATTTACAGCATATTGATATGGGATTAAACTACACTGAACATGTTGTTGATGTAATGAAGGAACACGCCAGTCAGTGAAAAGCTGGAGTTCCCTGATGTGTTTTCAGACGTTTCTGAACATAAAATTAGTGTTGATTTCAGTCTTTTTACTGAACATGGAACACTATCATTGTCTGACTTTAAAGCTTCTCAATCAGGAGGTAACACTTACACGCTGATGTCCTGGCACTCAGGAAATCGGCAATCATTGTAGAAAACTCCTTCAAAGAAGAAGAAAGCGGATTTGTAATGATCCTGAAACAGAACACATTAAAATATTAATTTTCCTGTGTATATTAATATCTTAAATGAGAGTACAGTTATAATGAATGTGCAGAAACAGCCAAATGTGAATATAGAGCGAAGCCAAGTCATTCTGTCCTGGTCTTGCAGAACACTTTGCATCTACAGTGAAATTGTGCTTACTTTGCTGATGAAGGCTGGAGCCACGTCTGGCGTATTGCTGAACTCTCCACACACTTGTAAGTCACTGGAACAGCAAATGGCATCCCTGAGCTCCGCCAAGCTGTGGGAACCCGTCATCTGCAGAGTCATGTGGGGTCTGGTGTAGGCAAACTGGGTGACATTGATAGGAAAGTCAGTTCCACGGAAGATAACATTGAGGAAACATGTCTGCTTAAGTGTGAGAAATCTGGAGAGGTTTAGCACTCTGTAAAAAACAAAGATGAGTTCTTACTTTGTCAGCAACGGCTGGGTAGTAGACGTTGATGACGAGAATGACTTCCCCTTCCGGGACAATGTCAGTAATTTCTTCCGGTTTCTTCCCAACGGTTACACGCTCCTGAATATCACACAGAAAATAATGTACCACACTGAGATACGCAGCAGGTACAACTACAGATATCTGGCATCTCCTCTGATAAACTGTGACAAATCTGTTCTGGAAATAGGATGGGTCTACAATAATAAATTACACAGTTTACAAAGAAGAATAAATATAGCAATACTCCAATTCACCTACCAGTTCATCTGCATAGAGGTCATGTCTGTTCTTGGTGATTTTCAGAGAAGCTCTGTGATCTTGTCTCTTTTTCCTTTGTCTGTCAAGAAAAGAAAAAAAACACAATGCATAAAATGCACATCACATTGAATTAAAATTGTGTTATACCACTGGTAAATCAAAGACACAGCATAATCTGTATTAGCTAAAGCGAGGATACATACATTAATGTTTTCAGTGTCGGGTCTGGAGGTACAACTTCCATGTTAGGCTTCTGATCTTTAGGATGGCAACGAAGAGATTCAATACTTAAAAAAACAAAAACAAAGTAACGTGATTATTTTTCAACATCTAACAGCAGTGGTCAAAAGGAATCAAAGAACAACTTGTCTAAATAGAGTTTTAAAACAGATGAATGCTGTACCAGTATCAAAAATGACACGCCTTGTGTTCACCTTTTGTTTTTTATGTTGGCCTTCTTAAGTTTTTACTTGCAGCTCAAACCTTGCAAGGAATTGGTTGTTTAAAAAAAAAATCTAAATTAGTTTAGTACCTAACTTTGTTACCCAGTTTATTTAGGTGGTGTACTGTTAACTTCACAACAAACAGTGTATTTACAGCCTGACCTTTGTGCAGATGACTGAACATGAACATGGCTGCATGAGCACACTCTGTGTCCTGTTCAATAAATGTACAACACCATTAGATAACCACACCAATCAGCCACAACATTAAAACCCCCTGCCTAACATTATGTACGTCCCCCTTGTGCCAGAAAAGCAGCGCTGACCCATTGGGGCATGGACACAGGACCTCTGGGAGTGTCCTGTGGTGTCTTGCACCAGGACTTTCTGCAGTGAATCCTTTGGATCCTGTAGGCTCGACCCGAGATTTCCCAGCAGAACTTTGCATAGACACAAAATGATCAGTGTTACTCATGTCACCTGTTTTCACCTGTATAAGGTTGTGGCTGATCTGTGCTTGACGTAAAAGTTAAATGGAGACGCCGCACAAGGGTTGCATATTGATCTGGTAGTCATTTCCTCAGTGAAAATAAGTGGATTCTCTGGTTTCAGCTTCTCAAATTTGCATGTGTGTATCTGCCAGCGTCCTTAATATTCAGTTGTGGCTTTTGGTCTGTTGTTTAGGCAAAACAAAACATGTTGAGACGTCAGCTTGGGTTTGGGGAAAGTATACAGGCCATTTTTCACATTTTTTTGGTGACTTTTCACACCCCTTTGCTTGAACAGATGTGTTTACATGTATCTGTTTGGTTGCATGTCCCTTGAATCCAATGGTTTATTTTGCTGCTGTTTTTTTGTACATGTTTGACCATCCCCTGTTGTATTTCATAGTATAGCATTGTCTTGTATTGTATGTGCACCTAAAGCTACAAAAGTAAAGTAAAGGCTACGTACTTGAGTCTTTACTACTGTATTTTTTTCGTCGTATGTTTAATACTACTTAGCCCTTTCCAGCGAATTATATTTTAACTAGCTCGAGTCCAGTTTTGTTTATACTCAAGTGAACACTTTCCCATACAGAATGACGGGGAAACAAAGTCATTGAGCACCCTGGGGGAAAGCTAAACTTGACAACAAACATTTATATGGGACACAAACGCACGCCACTGTGTTTAAACGGTGTTTCTGGATGTTAGCTGCTCCGACGTCGGGCTAACGTCGCTGTGACTACCTGCAGACGGACTTGAGCTCCGCCATGGTCTCCGCTCGGACCCCCATCTCTTCGGCAAAGTTAGCATGAAACGTGTCCTCGTCCTGCTGTTGGAAAGAGTAGCTACTCGGCTTCAGTCTGTTCAGCCACTCCTGTCTGAAGGAGTCGATATGAAACGGTTTGGTGTTCACCTCGGTATGCTCATAATCTGGGATGTTCGCGTTTGGTTCTGCCGCCGCCATCTTTCTTGTAAAGCACGCATGCGCAGAGGGTTATGGAAGATGTAGTTTTACGTGGGTATAGGTTTTATGTTAATATTTATATTTTTGTGACAATTTGTGATTTTATTTATGCAAAGAAAAATGCAAAATTCAGGCACCATGTGACACTGATATATATATATATATACATGAATCCAATTACGTTTTTCCACGATAGATTCAGTGGTTTAATGAGCTCATAATTCATATTTTTGAAGTAACAAACAAGGATTGCTGATTTATTTATTTATTTTTTTTTTACAAAAAGGGCATTGTTGCATATATGGTGTACATTTTCGCATTTCAAAGTTTTATTTTTTACCAGTCTTCATTGCAGCACTACTTCGTTAAAAGAGACTACAGGCCATACAGTAAATATCAAGTGAGTTCATTCGTGAAAATATTCATTTCCATATTATAAATAGAGGCAATGATAACATGATTTATGAATGACATTTCCACCAGATATAAGGCATTAGAAGACTGATTTAACTTACTGCGACTGGAAAAAGCCTGTACGCACAGGTGGAGCTTGACAAAGTTAAGTATTGGAAGAATTTCTTTTTCTATTCATTTTTAAATGTACAGTTTACCTCAACTCGGAATCTTACAATCATGCTGTTGTGGACAAGAAAGTCAATGCAGCTGTTGTTTAAAGATAAAACCTAATGGACCGAAGTGGAAACTGTAGTAAAACATATGAGTCAAATTACAAAATGACTTTTTTCACAATGATGAAAGCTGATCAAAAAGATATTTTTTATTTTTTTTGCTTTCATATTCAACCAGCCATGAATTGCTTTACTTGAAGTCGTTGCACGGTTATATAACATCATCCGATCCACTCTCTAAAGGTTGAATGAGTAGAGTGTGGTGCAGCAGGAGAAATCACAAAACCACCGGGAATAATTGCTCAGGCCAGGGAATCACATGCATGCAGATAACCAGAAATGGTAACTAGATCTGAGTTAACATGGCCCTAGTGCTGTATGGTTGAGCTGAAGTATTCTGGACAAGAACTATATTGAGGAACTTGTCCTTAAATAACTTTTGGTATTTCATAATACTCCACAATTTCGCACAGTTCTGAGTAACTTGCAATTTACTTAGTATTTTTGTTTTATAGTATTTCATGCCTCTTTTTCACAGCACTGCATTTACCCACAGCTTCAGCTTAGTTATTTTTCAAATCAAGATATTCCATTAAAAAGTTTATAGAAAAAATGATGGACAATTAAAGACTAAGTTGACCAAAAAAATTGCATCTAGATAAGACCCATCATTTGATATCAAGTTTGTTTTGTTTTGTTTTTTTTTTTAAACGGTTTTGGTGACTTTTTTAAATAACTGTTGTAGGATCAAAAAAGAGCTCCAAAGGAAACTTTGGACTGGTTACATTTCACCTTACAATGTCAAGTGCTGTGAGATGACATGCTGAGAATTGGTGCTACATAAATAGAATTTAACTGAATTGAAAAAGGTCAAATTTAGGGTCAAAACATAAAAGTACAAGAGAATATAGATACAAATTTGTGCATTAATTGTATTTATTTATTTATTTTCAATAAGTTTTCTTCCTTATTTCATGGCCCCTCAGATTTATATTAAAAGAGGTCCAGCTCTCAGGTTGGAACCACTGGACTAAACCAGGACTGTATAAAGCAGACAAATAGCTAGGAAAATGTTCCTTGTTACATCAGATTTAACAATCCAGTATGTAGTTTAAAGTATCCCTCAAACTAGGCTTCTTCTGCTTTTGATCCTTGTGCTAGAATACTGATGTGTAAAAATAAATAAATAAATAAATAAAACTCCAGTTTTTTATGGTCTTCATGCATGCATGCAGTTTTTCTTTATGTTGCTGTACTGCGGTTTAAGGTTCGCACCTTTTCTACCCTCATAAAAAGAAACATCCGCCACACCTGGCGTCTGGTGTCTGCTATAATCACCGAGCAGTTTACGTCAGGCAGCGTGCCAATTCGTAGCTTTGTATTAGATTTTTAACTCCATGAACTAACAAGATCCTGACATTTGTTCAGCTAGAAACAATTTTATACACACATCCATTTAAAAAAAAAAAAAAAAAAGAAAGAACGAAATTAAACCGTGTAATTTTCAGTCTCAGCTGCACCGACTTTTTGGTTAATGAAAACGTTCAGAATTAGCCGAGATATGTTGTTTCTTTGTAAAACTGAATAGCAGCAACTGTGATCCAGGAGGAGGAGGAGGAGGGGGGAATTATCCAACCTTGGGACGCAGTGATTTCCTGTGACAGAGAAGCAAATTTGAGGGCTGGTTTTACGACACCCGCCTTCTTACCTTATAAATATCGAGAGAGGCTACACGATGTCTGCTGATTTCTGACAAGGAAAGACTTCCAATCTCTTCTTTAGCCATCGCTTGGTACTTCTCTCCCAGCATCAAATGGAGACGAAAGGCAATTCACTACAGCAGGTAGGTTTCGTTGCAGCTTCTTTGATTAATTTATTTAGTCCATTTTTAAGCTGTTTTTATTGTTGTTATGTCGTGCGTAAAATATGGTGCTGTAGTGAAGACTTCCAAGGTTTCTGGGCTTATGTGCTTTCAACTTTAACATTATTTTGGACTGTTGTTATGACAATATTTAGAAAATTACATTATTGTCATTAAAATAGACCGCCCCCCTAAAAAAAAGAAGAAAAAAGAAGAAGAAATTGTCTGGATGACGTGTAGCTTGTGTAACACACACTTTTGTGAGCGATTGCACTGCGCACTAGACAAAATGTTAACTTTAATAAAATGAATATTCTTGGCATCAAAATACTAAGTGAAGTTTAGAAGAGTTTGTTGTACACCTTTACCTCAGGCATGACCGCGAACGACATCAAAGCAACACCAAAAAAATCATTTGGTTTAGAGGCGCTGCGTAAAAACGCACTGGCACTGAACCTTATGATCGAGGAGATTTCAATCAGCCCCATCTGGTAATCCAACAAAACATTTCCATGTGTTAGAAAGGGAGATGAGGGCCCAACGAGGGACTAAATGTGGAAAGAAAATTAGCTTTAGCCTCTAAGTACTGGCCAAAAGGCAGGTACAAGATGGGAATAGCTTGGCAAACGACCAAACAAAACAAAGCGATCTGAAACTGAATGCTGGAAATTTACAATCCGGCAGCGGGACGCGGGAATTGCTGGAGGCCAGGTGAGTGAGCAGGATTAGGGCACATGAGGTGATGACGGACGTGGGAGCGGCTGAGCTGAGGAGGCACGAGAGTGTGTGACGGGATCACAAACCCCAGACAGAATGGATCAATGAATGAAACGACAGAAAGAAAACCAAAACCGTGACATCAAATTTTCCCCATCTATAGCCTAGATCAGCAAACTGTGATATGTGCCGAACCACAATGTACAGTACTCTCACAGAGCTCTGGTTCTAGCGATGACCTACTTCAAACAAACAAACAAACAAAAGCTCATTTACATGTTTTGGAAGATTTGATGTGAAGTTTCCGTTTTTCTGTTCTTTCTTTCAGCTGGACTTGAACAATTCCAGTAAGCATGCATTGTAAGTAAAACCATGATGCAGCAATTATTTTGAAATGTGTTCAGGAATATGTGCTCATAAACAACATAATCAGACATATAATTAAAACAGACTCCTGTAATCCAACTCAAGAATGTTTTAAAAAATGTATTTGTCTTTTGTGATTTAGCTGCTGAATATTAATTTGTCACTCTCTTAATCTAGATCACCTGCAACAAATTTAGAGACAGCTCTGAAGGACTGCTCTGCTGCCCTTGACCTTTTCCTGAACAACAGGTTTGCAGATGCATTGGCTCTTTTAAAACCCTGGTAAGTCACTGGTGCTCTGGTGCCAATTTAAGCGTTTCTTTTATTTCCATAATAATAAGAAGAATTAAAGCTGCAAACAGTGATGGGCGGGTCCTCGGCGCATGCGCGTCAGGGTGTGGCGAAATCTTGCCTTGGGTGACTGATCAAACAAAAATTTCAGGCAGATCGGAACACATAGTGAATCAATTAACACCTTCTTGTTGATGAGTTGAGGTGGCATGTGTGTGGTGGAATCTTTTTTTGGCTGGGACTCTAATCAAGATTGTCAAGTTTCAGACAGATGAGAGCACGTACAGGACAGTTACACAACACATCCCATTTTGTGGCAAATTGTCAAAATGTGCGGCATTTGTGGAGAGTTAAAAAAAAAAAAAACTTTTAATCACCAAGCCCTGTAGTACATGCAGGCCAAACCTGTCTGTGGGACTTTCCCCTTTGGAGGAGATAGATTTTGAAAATGGCCGAAAATAAGCAAAAATCGCTTAAAATCTTGCCTTTTATTCAAAACGTCCTCTTGGATTTAGGGTCTGGGCTGTTGGGTTTTTTTGTGCATCCTGAAGTGATACCTATGCGGCATAGGCTATGCCTACCAAAGTTCGAAGGTGAAGGCCAAACGTAGTTTTGGTGGAATTCCATTGAGATTCTCTAGGGGGCGCTATGGATCCATTTTTATAAAAATCCCCTAAAATATCGCATTTTTCACCAGTTTGGATGTGTGTAAAAATTCTGGTTAGTTTTTGAACATGTTTAGGCCCTCTAAATGCGTATCTTTTTTGCGAAAAATAACAATGATCACCAGAAGGATTCCAAGAGGTTCCTTGCATTTTCAGTGCTCGAATCCTAACTACAGTACTCTCATACAGACCATCATAATTAATACATCAAACACTGAGCATTTGCACTTTGCTTTAAAACACGTTTGCTCCATTTCTGTCATTTAGGAAGGATCAGAGTATGTACCATGCAATGGGCTACAGCAGCATCTTGGTGATGCAGGCAGGAATGACCTTTGATCCGAAGGACATGGATGCTGCCATGACATCGCTGGGAGAATCCCTGCAGACCTGCCAGGGGTATGGATTGACAGTTAATAATTACAGAAAGTGGTACCTTTAAGATGTTTTTGGTAGTTTGTGACTATTTACAATGTGTCTGTTATGACAGACTACGGAAGAAAACTGGACTAATGGAGAGCTTGGCCAACCTGTGGTACAGACAACCAGTTGAAAATCTGACAGAAGGTGGGTAAACTAGTGCATCTGTTGACTGCATGTAGTAAATATATGTCCTTGGTCATTATATTAACACATATGAAATTAAGGGAATGTGAATGACAAACTGGACAATGACCTCCTGTTTAGATAGAAATGATTGAACCAAACAGATATGAGCACAATCTCCTACAAGATCATCGTTTTTTTAACACTACAAAATGCAATTTGTTGTGGCCTATAATATTTATGTCAGCATGCAGGATGTCTAACACTATATATGCAACTCTGAATTGTTGATTCAGCCATTTTTTACACTTTTGACTATTTTATATATTTATTTTTTTAATGTTTCTGTTACATTTTTCATTAACAGAAGAGATGCACGCAGAGCTGTGCTATGCTGAGGTTTTGCTGCAAAAGGCTGCTCTCACATTCCTGGATGAAAGTATAATTGGCTTCATCAAAGGAGGGATGAGAATCCGAAACAGTTACCAGATTTTCAAGTAAGTGAAAGTTGTCTTGAACAGAATGTAAAAATGGAAAGAAATAATCAAATTTAGGTGACCTCGGGTGTATTTTAAAATGCTGTCTCTCCGAACCAGGAACTGTCAGTTGATGGCAATTAACACGAAAGACGAGGACAATCAGAAGAGCACACACATTCATTTCAGGGGCGGGGTCAGCATGGGCATCGGTTCTTTTAATCTGGTGAGAAATGTAGAATACATGCATTTATGCAAAAATATTAAAGCTAAGCAACTTTCCTGTAGATTATTTCATAAATAAATGAATCCACACTTCTACTAGCGCAATTTATTTACAGTGTCATTGAAGTAAAAGACTCTACTTCCATACACCCGATGAGCACATAAGCTGTATCCTAATGAAGGAAGCCAAACCAACTGTGTGTTTTTGTTTCCAGATGCTGTCTCTGCTTCCAGCCAGAGTCCTCAGACTGATGGAGTTTCTGGGCTTCTCTGGAGACAGGGTCAGTGATGTCACTATATACAGACACAGACCTGATGCTTCACTATAGTGTAGTAATGTTTATTGTATATTTAATGAATTATTTGCTGGCTATCTTACAGGAGGTTGGTTTGTCAGAGCTGAGGGAGGGAGCCGCTAGCAGCAGCCTGCGCTCCATCCTCAGCACCCTGACTCTGCTGATGTATCAGCTCTACATCACAGTGATACTTGGTGAGCAGTCTCTGGTGTCAGACCTCATTTAATTTTAGATTTAAATCCCTTATTTAACCATAAAGGGTTTTTTTTCCCCTTTCTGATCTGAAACTGATTTCTCTCGGTCTGATTCTTTCCTAAGGTACTGGAGATGGAAACCTCACTGAGGCTGAATCTCTGCTGGAACCCTACAAGCAAAAGTTCCCTAATGTGAGCAGATGTTTTTTACTCACTGTTGTATACATTCCTGTTTTATTGCCCCCCTCAGGGAGACTGTATGACACTTAAATAATTAAAATGATTTATTCCACAGGGAGCCCTCATTCTTTTCTACACCGCAAGAATTGCTGTGCTCAAAGGAAACTTCACCTTTGTGAGTCCTGCTCATGTCTAACTGTACAGTATGTGTTTACAGCAATGCTGCTCATGTAGTTGTTGCAGCAAAACAAAACTGAAAGTCAGTGAATCTGGGCTCGTCCCTGCAGGCCCAGGAGAAGTTCCTGGCGTGCATCGCCTCGCAGGAAGAGTGGCGTCAGATTCACCACCTGTGTTACTGGGAGCTGATGTGGGCCTACTCCTTCGAACAGAATTGGAGAGAAGCTTATCGATATGCCGACCTGCTCTGCAAGGAGAGCAAGTGGTCCCAGGTATCTACCGTCACCTTCTCTCCCTCTGTGCCATATATTCAATTGTGTGACTCCTCTACACAGTATTTAAATTAAAACAAACTGACGTCTCCTTTCTCGTAGGCCATCTATGTGTATCAGAAAGCTGCCATCTTGAGCATGCTCCCAGAGGAAGAAGTGACTAAACTGAGAGAGAATGTGGTGGAATTATTCAGGTGTGTTGTGGAAAGAACATTTGCTCATCACGTCTATTCTACAGCTAAACTGATTAATAAAAGTAACTGTGAAACACGTGGTTTGTAGGGAGGTGGATAGTCTCAGACTGAGAATTGCTGGGAAGTCGATTCCAACAGAGAAGTTTGCAGCAAAGAAGGCTCAGAGATACGCTTCCTCTAACCCTGTCAAGATAGTCGTACCGGCGCTGGTGAGAGCACACAAACACTCTTTCTGAGAACCGACAAGTTCTTTTTTTTGTCCAATTGAGAATGACAACCATCTTGTCCGGCAGGAAATGATGTACGTGTGGAATGGCTTCACAGTGGTAGGCAAAAGACCGAGGCTTACTGAAGGCATCTTGGCAACTTTGGAGAAAGCAGAGGAGCAGCTCCAAAATGATCCAAGTGAGACAAACTGCAGTATTTCACAATACTGAATTTTTATTTATTTTCTTCAGTATCAAAGTGAAACTAACAGCTTGTTGTATATATTTGCAGACCCATCAGAGTATCACCTGGATGACCAGTGCGTTGTCCAGCTGTTGAAGGGTCTGTGTCTAAGAGAGCTGGGGCGTCTGGTTCAGGCTGAGATCTGCTTCAATCACGTCATTTCCAGGTGAGGTCGTCTTCAGGCCACTGCAACACACACACATGCAACATCTGAGTTGAAGTCTGCAGCACAAATTCCAACAAAGTTCTATGAAGTCCTCCGAAAATGTTACTTGGGAGCATCGCTTTAGAACAGAACAAAAAGGATTTTAGTAGAAGTGTTACTTTTGTAAGGGATAATCAAATTAATATCTCAAATGTTCAAGTAAAAATGCAAGTTGCAGGGTAAAAAAATGAATGTGACTGTGAATGAATGTGACTCTGTGTGGTATGTTGGTGCTGAAGTAAAATTTGGATACAATCATAATATGTTGAACATCCCTGAATAGACCCACGAAAATGAGAACTGTGTTTTTTTTAATATATATATTTTTTTTGCAGTGAAAGTAAAATAAAGCACGACAACTATCTGGTGCCGTTCACCATGTATGAGCTGGGCCTTTTGTACAAGCAGAAAGGTGACATCAGCAAGGCCATCACCGTGATTGAAAATGCCAAGTAAGTGTTTTCAACCTATCCACATTCCTAGATTATATTCCAAAACAATCCATCCATCTGTTATCTATACAAAGCTTAGCATAGGCTTGCATGCCAAGTGTATTCCCAATATTTAGCTTTTCTGCTAAAGTCTCCTTATCTAACTGAAAAACATTAACTTGTTTTGTCCTGCACTGTTGCTTGTTGAAGAAGTGACCCAGCTCACATTCGCTGTTTATACATATAATCCTAGTACTGTTTTAGATGAATTATTTGCACTCACCTGCAGCTCTTTAAGTTGCGTCTATGTACCTGCAAATATAGTTGGTTCTCCTGTACTATTAACAACACATTGTTTCCCCATGACATTAAGATTACAGCAGAAGTTTTACAATGTGTACCAGCAGAAATCCATCCATCCATTATCCATACACCACTTAATCCTCACTAGGATCCGGGGGGCTGGAGTCTATCCCAGCTGACTTAGGGTGAAGGCAGGAGACACCCTGGACAGGTCACCAGTCTATCACAGGGCTACACTTAGAGACAGACAACCAAGCACACTCACATTCACACCTGCAGACAATTTAGAATCACCAATTAACCTCAACATGTTTTTGGACTGTGTGGGAGGAAGCCGGAGAACCCGGAGAGAACCCACGCTGCACGGGGAGAACATGCAAACTCCACGCAGAAAGATCCCGGGTGTCCTCACTGGCGACCTTCTTGCCGCGAGGCAACGGTGCTAACCACCGAGCCACCTTGCAGCCCCCCAAAAACAATGAGGAAAAAAAATGGACTTTATTTATATGAAGCAAAATACCTCATAATTTGGGAGTTGCATCAAGAGAAGATATTGTGCTCAAATGGAACCAAACAACCCAGCAGATGTGAACAATAGCAGCCACCTCTTGGTTTGAATAGCATTTATACTGCAATATTACACAAACAGCTAATCTGTGATCTAATTTGCAGGACGAACTACAAAGACTACAACATGGAGTCCAGGCTGCACTTCCGCATCCATGCAGCGCTCAACACCATGGGCACCTTTGCAGCCAAACTTCCTCCTTCACGTACGTCAGCTTAAAAGGTCGGAAACTTGACAGAAAAGAGGGTAGAACCCAACACGAGGTCACGCGACTGTATTACTGTAGTAGCTTCAGCTGGCTGCAATGAATTACTGTAACATGACTTTGCTATTTCCATTGAATGATTGTAGAGCTGGTTAGAACCAGAGAGATGTAAATCTCAAGCGAGAATGTTGTGGATGAAGAGTTAAGCAGGACTTACATTAAATACATTAATCAAGTAGAAAGAATGTTATGGAATTGATTTTACTCAACACATTATTTCCTTTGAAATCTGTAAAATGACAAGTTTGTGACAGTTACTTGCTGTTATCGACGAGATTAAATATTTTAATATAATAAAAATGTTGATGTTTGTATAAACTTTCTCTTAGTGGAGTTCAGTCCACAGCTAACAGTGTTCTTGTAAATAACTTTTTCTGTGTGGCATCAGTAAAAACAATACAACTCAGCAATGTTTGTCTGATTTTTACTCAAGTTCTTGCTGCTCGGCTCATGAGCATGTGAAGGTCTGAGATCTCCACGTAAAAGAGCAGAAAACAATTCAGCACTTTCTAGACATGCTAGTTTGTAATCCAGAGGAGGAGGACTGTCCAACCTGTGCTTGAATTGGCACAAACTTGCTATTTCTAATCTTTCTCATGACTGAAATAACACTTTCAGTTCACCATAAACTTTTACACAAAAAATGCCCAAGATCTGCCCCCTGAAAACAGACAGAATGTGCAGTTGTGAAGAAAGTTTAAATTGTCTTTATAAAAGATGAATAAATACACATAATAGTTGTATTTCCAAACATAATTCCCTTCTTTAGGCACAACATGCACACTCAAACATAAAAAATGCAATGTAGGATCAAGAACAAAGACCAATTTATACACATAAAGTATCACAAGATGATAAAATCATTTCACTCAACCAACATCTTTCAGAATATATGAGCAGCAGGAAACTGGTGAACAAACCCCAGTGAAAGCTTATACATGAATAAATATGGCTTCAGTCTACCAAAGAATATAATCACCTGTACATGTGAAGACTAAGTACTGAATAAAAACTGCCTCATGAAACTGCTCTATTAAATCTATAAAATAAGAAAATACAAAATAAATATCAAATAACATCCTGTATTTATTGATGACATAACTTGTAAGGTATTTTAATGTTAGCACATTATTAAAATAACCACATTTGTCCAACGATACAGTTCCTTTTGAAAGGTTTTACCAAAAGGCAGCACTGCGTGATAAATTAATGTTCATGTTCCAAATGAGCCTTGATTCAAAAAATCATCTTTTTTTAAAATCAAGTTTTTATTGAACTTTTCAAAGGCTTGGTACATGGCAAACTTAGTACATTTCCCCATACAGGAACAGATAGTATATAATTGACAATTAACTCTGGCAACAGACTTAGCACATTTTTGTCTCAAAAATAGGCATTAAATGCAAAAGAAAATACACAATGACATCACCTAACAAGTACATGCACAGTATCCCTACACACTCCCTCACCCAACATGCTTCTACATACACCATATAGACATATTGCTAAGGTATACAGTATAACAGAACTAGGGTTGCAAAGGGGCGGACAATTTCCGGTAAATTTCCATGGGAAGTTAAGCTGGGGAATTTTGCAATATTCCATATTGGAAACTTTACATGGGAATAATGGGAATTAATGGGAATTTAGGGGAACTAACTGGGAATTGAGGGTAATGTAATGAAATCACTTGACTCAAATGATTTAAGGACAATCAACTTATCCGGGTTTACAGTGCATGCAGTCCCATACTACAGACGTCCAGCCGCTGTCGCTGCTGTCAGTGCTGCGGACCACGTGGTGTGGTGAGCCGCTCAGCTGACTTGCTGGGGGAGGAAGAGGAAAGAAGATGGAAGGGAACAGAGACGAAGCAGAGAAATGTATAAATATAGCGACGAAAGCCTTCGAAGCCGGAGATAAGGAGAAAGCGCTCAAGTTTCTCAACAAAGCAGAGAAGCTGTTCCCAACTGCCAGAGCCAAAGGTAAAGGCTGTCCGCGGCTGACCGCTGTGTTTAGCCGGACGGAGCTAGCCTAGCATAGTTGCGTTTAGACTGTAAATTATCAGGTGTTAGCACGAAGCTGGCGTTTGCTAACGTCGGACACGGTTTAAGTTCACGGCAGGTCATGTGTTACATACATAACAGGCACACATGTTTGTACGACTGTCTAACATTAGTCTAAAATGAGTATTGGCTTGAAGACAGTGAATTTAGTGACACGTATCCGAGTTAGCCAAGTTGTGGGCCTGAGAGCTAACCTAGCCTGCGCCTCCCCGTAGTGGACTTAGCAGCTAATAAATGAAGGTTATAGTTACATGGTCAAGTTTAGTGGACTGTTATCCTGTTGGTTTTCAGGATAACAATAACCAACTAATACAAGGTGTTAGCAAAAATCCTCAGTCAAGCCGTCATTCATTCACAATCCCATCCGTCGATTATGATAAGCTACCTGGACTTTGAAGCATTATTTACCTGTAATTTCACTTTCACTTCAATTAACAACTTTTGACCCGCGTTAATAAAGCTTCTCCGTGGTTGTGTAGGGATTGTGGTGTAGTGCAGGGACGTAGGGCAATGTGTCCACGCTGTCCAGGCCACATAACCGACTGTCAATCCCTTAATTGAATGATTGGCCGGAGAGATCCTCGACGTAAAGGCTCATCCAGGACACGCACCTCTCTGTGCACTGACTGGCTTTGGATTATAGCTGAGAAGTTTGTAGTACTGTGAGTGATTACATGCCAGATACACAAACTTGCACATTGAAGATCAGTAACTCCTCAGGTGTTAAATTATAACTTGTTAGTTGAAATGCCCAACTGTGAAACTTTGACTGCATAATTATGTGCCTGTGTGTGTGAGGGTTTCAGCATTAATGGCTGTTTCCACACAGTCTGCAGGGACCTGGTAGCTTGGATGACCTGCAGGCCAGCACTGGACCTTTAAACAACTAAGTGGCACCTAAGGGTACAGATAGGGCCATCCATTAGTAATTAAGTTGAACTAACTAATTCAGCAGATCCTGTTTTGGGGTTTTAAGCAAATCTTTAAAGATGGATGAAAGGATTGTCATTATCCTACAAGAGCTGCAACAATGAATCATTTTGTCAGCTGACAAAAAGTTTTTTAAGCAAATGCTTTGAATACTTGCTGGCTGAGGATTTGATAATGCTTTTTTTGTCATGTGATTGTAAACTGATTATCTCTGGATGTCTTTCAAATGATCACATTGATCTGTGAAAAAAATAGCAAATAATTTTTCACTGATTTATGACAGAATGTATGCAAAACAGTCAAAATTGAGAAAGTCATGAACAGTTTGATCATTACTGAAAATAATTCTTAGTTGTAGCCTTAATCAACATGCACATCACTACATGTGTACTGGAATGTAAACACCAACTAACTAACATTATATACAGGCATTTTCAGAAGTAAGGGGAAAAACCATTGACTTTAATCTGTTTGACTGAAGAGTAAAATGCGTCTATATAGGAAAATATACAGAGTATAGACTGAAAGGTGTGGAAGAAGCACACTGTTGCTTCTCAATCCTGATGATCTGGATTCTAGTTTGAGATACTAAATGATTGGAGGAAGTTTGTTTGTTAAAACCTTTACGGGTATCTTGCTAATGGACGGAATGATGGGAAAATAGCATTGTTGACAGAAGTATTTGTAATATGACGTGAGAGGAGTCTTTATTGAACAAGTTTAGAGGCGTTGAAAATGGTAACAGTAAATTGAGAGGGGAAAAGAACTAAACATGAACACAAGTTGATGTTAAGATTTAAGTTCCTGAGTGCCTTGCGTTTACTGTTGCAGCAACAATTGCCTTTATGTTGCTGTCAGGTAAAACAAATGAGTCTCCTGAATCTGCACTGGTTCATAGTTTTTGTGCAGAAGGCTCAACAGAGATGCATGGAGAACGTTTACTGGGCAGTGGAAGAGTGCAAACATAGTCTGTAGATGGATCTTGCCGTGTGAGGTAACCTAGTGTGTAACATCCACTGACACTGTTATTGAGGACATCACATCCAAATAAATTGTTTTCAGGAGAGGGCAGGCCAAAGCAGAACCTGTAGCTTGGTTAATGGCAGTTTAGCCATAGCTGTATCACTAAGCAACCATATGGGGGCTGTGACCGTATCACAAAGCAAGTTCATATTTGCCGTGCTTTGTTTGTGTTATCTGGCATCAGTAAGCTGGTTATTGACTGTCACGGGTAACCCAGGGATTTCCGGTCTGTTGTGTGAGTTCACTTTAAAGAAAGAATGTTGTACAAAGTTGTCATATAATATTGTGTCAAAATGCAGCATTTAGGTATTTGATGTGAGAGCTGAGTGCTAACCACTGTAGGGAAATGAAGTTGTGGCAGCTTCAAAACTCTATTCAACATTGGAGGCTGTAAAATGTGAACACACAACTAAAATACAAAGTGGAATAGTAGTAATAGTTACACTAAACAATACACTGTTTACATCATATTAAGTAGCCTAGAGAAGTATGGGAACAGGGGATGATGGGAAGGGAATGGTTGCACTTATGTTTCACGAGGACTGTAATGAATAATGCATTGATAAACATTTCAAAACATACCAGTTAAAAGCATCTCGACTTTCAAGGCAGCATAAGAGATCATTAATCTGCTGCACTGTTGCTCTTCTGTCTCTTCATGCATGTTTGCACCAACATATGACTTGAACATAAGACTACAAAAAGTCTGTGAAGATTCTCAGTCATCCAGGTCATGGTTATTCTCGTAGATTAATCGTAACAACTGGACTTGCTTGAGTTCCTTGAAGACGTTTCACCTCTCATACAAGAAGCTTCATCAGTTCTGACTGACAAGTTGGGAGTTCCAGATACTTCTATTCTTAAGGAGCCATTAACACCTGAGTTTCAGTTGGGGGTATGTTGCCCTTGTTATGTGAGTCGTTAGGACTCCCCCTGCCACAATGGGGTTTGATTTGGTTCCTTCCCACTGTTGCGGACTGCTTTCGGACTGCTGAAGCTTACAGGGAATCCAAATGTTTTGGATTGTTGGGTGTTTCTGTTTCTGCCTTTGAGATGACTTGTTGTAAATATGCGCTATACAAATAAAATTGAATTGAATTGAAAATTGTCTTCAAAGGAGTGTCCTTTGTCCTTAAGATGCAGGTGGACTGCTGTGTTCTGTCTTGGGGGTTGGCTCTTCAGTGCTGAGCCATGTGCTTGTGGAGCAGTTGTTTTGTCTCCCTGATGTACAGGTCTTGGCATTCCTCGCTGCACTGGACTGTGTACACCAACGTTGCTTTGTTTCTGTCTTGGTGTCTTGTCCTTAGGGTTTCTGTCTCAGGGTGTTGGTGGGCTTAAAGTGCACTGGAATGTTGTGTTTGTTTGCTGAAAATCCTCCGGAGCTTTCCAG